TTCGAAGTTGTGAAGACTTTGCTTTATATAAAGGATAATACTGTATATATGTAATATATCTATAACCATATAATTGTAACGATATTTGCGAATAATAATTTTTCTACTTTTGACGGTTTGCAACAGTATTAATATTTATCTGATTATGTACATAGAATATACTTAGAATGTACTTACAAATATAAAGAAAATGAAAAAAATAAATCATTGGTTAACTCTCATTCAATAAAAAAGTGGTCATAAGGGAAAATTTTACGGATTTTTTAGTTCGCTAAAAGATGGTTAAAATTTAACTATATAAAATATATATAAAATAACATATAATTTTCTATACTTTACTATACCTTAGACCAAGTCATAAGACTATGAAATTTCGTATAATTTGAAATATATTTTTCAACAATTTTGCATAAGACCACACAACAACAAATTGAATAGCGCTATTATATGACTTCCACTCATTTTTTTGTTATAGTTATAGATTTAGTGCTACCCCAAATCTAAAGACGAATATTTGGTGGTAAAATATTTACATTCTTAATACAATATAAAAATGATGATTATGCTTCAAAGATTGTCCATAATACCGACTAATTAATACTAATAAGTATGGATTATTAGCCATCATAATCCGTTACCAAAGGTTATACCATGAAAACTTTAAGCTATATTACTGAGATAATATTTTTTTTTTCATTGTGGTTGAATTACATGGATTACCATACATCTGCGGTGTTGAGTGTGCGGACTGTGGTTGGTAGACCGTAATACCAAGAGAGCTAGATTATGTGACATATTGTTTGCAACTTATATATCTTGAATGTGATATATATATGTCAAATATGTTCTACAGATATCTGTTGATATCTGGAGCAGGGGAACTAATATGATATTATTATAACAGATATAGTGTTTTCCAACAGAAAGGTGATTATCGGTATATCATTAGAAATATTATAAAGTAAAAGGTATGTACATAACATAACTATAAAAGCTTTCATTTTCATTTACTTTGAGTTTACTTTGAAGCCTTGTGCTTCAAATATAATAATAAATATATAATAATAACAGTATATAAAAATAAATATAATAATAAATACTTTTACTTCATGTTTAGGTTAAAGTGATAATTTCAATAAGTATTTAAATAACTGTTTCTGTCGTATTAAATCAGTATCACGTGATGATTTACTTGATTTCTGTAATAAGACATTGTAGTGTTATATTAAAATTTATTTATAAACATAATTGTGTATTCTTAATAATATAAATAATTAAATTTGAAAAGACTATAAGACTACATACGAGTGTATGTATTGAAGCAGAAGCTATAAACGCTCAATATCGCAGAAATTATTTATTCACTTTAAAATTTTTTCTCTAAAAAAATTAAATCGATGAGGAAGAAAAGCTTTATAAATTAATTGAAAAATTTCTTAAAAAACTCTCCACTGACGATTTTCATAATATTTGAAAAATATTAGAGATGCACTAGAGATAACAACTGATTTGTATTTGTTAAAAATCCAAAAACCTGTATTGCTTTCAACTGATAACTGCCGAAGTCTTCTAATTTATTTACTATGTTTTCACTGATTACTTCAGAGTCCCACAAAATACTTAACGTAAGTATGCTTTTAATTATGTATGCTTAAGCACATGTATTACTTGATATAAGAAAGATATATAGTATGACATTGGTACGTACTGATTTTGATATTTGAATATAATGGTTTAGTGCACCACTTATTTCGGCAACTTGATAAATCAGCTGGTACTTATTTAACTTGAATGTGCTTAAGTTAAATTGCGTCCACTTTAAGCTGATAGTAAATCGAAGTATGTGCTTGTTCGATCTATTTTCTGGTTATATCTTCGTATCGTTATATATAATTTTTAATTAATACTCCACCAGTCGCACGGGCGAGACCAATATTTTGTGAATATAAGTTGTAATTTAACGTCAAATTTTCCAGACGAAAGTGACTATTATTTTTAATAGCAAACTTGTTATTATAAAGAGGTTTTTTCGAACAGTAGTGAAATACAACAACAAAAATTTTATTTTTTATATTATTTTAATTAATTGAATTTTTGGCTGACCAAAAAGTATTGTCAAATATCCATCATCAGTGGTCGTGGAAATAATTCTTGTATTTAATTAATCGTAAATAATTATTTTTGAGACTACAAGTACCAGGAATCGAAATCGGGTTCTGCCAAATGTGAAGCTCAGAATCAGCGCACCTTAACCAACTGATCCAAAGCCGTACTTGACTTTTTTGTTCGCATATTTTTCTGGAGTTTTGTTACTATTACTATGAAAGTTTTTTATTAACAATTTTACTTGCTGTGTTTATATTAGAACGAAATCAGAAACCAGCTGTAGAATTTTTAATTAATGTTATAAAATTATTTATAAATTGAAACTCTTAGTGAAGTTCTTGTATGAAATTTATACGTTTTAAATATTATTCATACTGCGTTTCCGTCTTGACTCAGTGCAACGGTTTAACCGAATTTTGTATTTTTAGTTCCGAAATGCAAATCAAACTCACGTTTCAGCTATTAGACAATGGAAATTCGCTATATTCCGAAAGGCGTATTGTCCATGTCTAATTGAGCGACGACGTTCCAGCGCCAACTGAGATTGTGTGAGATTTGTATGCTGAGAATACTAATTAACAACAAACCTGATAAGTTATGCTTTCAATGAGTATTAGATGACGTCACTATAACTTGAAGCAGTCATCGGTATTGTTGATATATTAACTTATTTCACATAATAATACCAATTGAATTGATACTATGAATATGAATGAACTTAGGAATAAAAATTTTAATTAAAATAAGTTTGACTTTATATTCAATTTGCAGTATTAAAATCGCAATTATTTCTAAAATTTATTGAAATTAAATAAAATTGATCGAAAAATTATTTTAAAATTTTCCAATTTCTGTTTTTTCACTCCAAAGTCAGCTAGTCATTCATTTAAAATAATTTAAAATTAATTGTTTAGAAAATGCACAATAAAGTCTTATTAGTTAATTTATTTCAGTATTTGTAAAATTGACATTGGAGACGGGGAATCTGAGGCAGAACTCAGTTGTTTTCGTGAAATTATTTTATGAAGGCAAATAAATTATTTAAAAATAATTAAGTTATAAGCGATTGACTTGCTCGTGTAGTTTATTTGCAATAATGAAAAAAAAAGAAAACTATTTGAAATATAAGTAATGGTGTTAGTTATTTTTCCGCTAATAGAACACCCACAATTTGTGGTGTAATTATTTTCTTTAAATTTTTTTTTTCTCTCAAGTGCAGTCACTAAATTTCTGGCTAA